AAAGGAAGAAGAAAATCTTAGATGGTGGTGCTTGTAGATTTAAGGTTTGGCAAGGGCATCTTACAAATAGAGGACGCCATTGTACTGTGTTCATATTCAAAGAAGGTGACAAGGGATCATTCCAAGGTCCTTACTTTAATTGGCACTAAGAGTCCTTGTGATCTCATTCCCTACCAAAGGTTCCACTTCCTAATACTATCACTAAACAAGTAAGAATTTCAGTGTGAACATTTCAGGAGACACAATCATTCCAATCATAATGAATTCCAATGTTCACAGAGGAACACTTTTCATGACTTAAAGGCAATAGCAACTGAGCTCAAGAGAAGTGTGGATGCAAATAATCTTATACAGAAGAGCATGGGAGATCATTTTGAAGAAGAAAGCAGTATTATCTGCTGAGGGAGGTGGTATGATGTGGGATGTCCTTCTGTACACTGTGAATGTGTGTTGTTTTAATTGATTAATGAATAAAGCTGCTTTGGCCTATGGCAGGGTAGAATATAGCTAGAAGGGAAAGTAAAACTGAATACAGGGAGAAAGAAGGTGGAGTCGAGGGAGACACCAGCAGCTGCCTGAGAAGGAAGGTATGAGGTGACAAGCCTCGAACATCATGGTAAAATATAAACTGATAGAAATGGGTTAATTTAAGTTGTAAGAACTAGTTAACAGTCAATCTGCTAATAGACCAAACTGATGTGGGAGTGATTTCTTATTAATAAAGAAACTGCCTAGGCCCATTTGATAGGCCAACCCTTAGGTAGGCAGAGAAAACAGAACAGAATGCTGGGAGAAAGAAACTGAATCAGGGAGTCGCCATGATTCTCCCACTCCAGACAGACACAGTTAAGATCTTCTCTGATAAGCCACCTTGTGGGCCACACAGATTATTAGAAATGGGTTAGCTCAATATGTAACCAATAAGAGGCTAGAGCTAATGGGCCAGGCAGTGTTTAAAAGAATACAGTTTCCATGTAATTATTTCGGGTAAAGCTAGCCATGCGGGTGGTCGGGTGGCGGGACGCAGCCCAGCCCTGCTGCTCCAAATACAACACCAAACAATATGTAATTAATATTAACCCTCAGAATGATTATTTTAAAAGTGGTGCAGGACCAGGCAGGACAAGAAACCTCCAGATATAAATGGCACCCACTGTCTAGCACGGATCCACAAGAGACCTAAAAAAGCTGTAAAGGGGTTCTAAATGCACAGAAGAAACAGAGCTGTCCTGGGCTTCCTAGTCACTCATGCCATTACAATACAGAGATGCATTGTACAGAGATGCATCTCTGGACAGCTGCCCACGAAATGGAGCCAGCTGTCAACCACCATGACCTAAGCAGCATGGCAGACTCCCGCAGTCTCTCACTGGCTGCAGGACAAAGAAGCTTCTCCCAGCCGCTGCCTGCAGGCTTGAGAACACAGCCAAAGGTCTAAGGGCACAGCTGTATACTACTTAGTACTGCTTCCCAGAGTTGGAAAGGTTAAGTGTGACACGCCTGGGTACCTCTGCCATGTTGAAAAGTTGAGCAGGGTAGAACCAAGAGCCAAAGCAGCCACTTTGGTCTTAGCCATGCCCACTTACCAATTTAAAGCAGTGATCAGAAAATAATTACAGACACACAATAAAGGCAGATTCAGACAAAAAGCCCTCTAAAAGGGTCACAATGTGATAAATATGCATAGGCTTGGGAGAGAAAAGATAAAGGGTAGACAGAGTCATAGATTAAAAGAATAAAGATAATAAACTGTGGTTCTTAAGAAGAAAATAAAGTAATAAAAAATTATAATAAACCATGTTAAAATGAAAAATGCACAGGCAGTCTAGATTATGTATACTATTGTGTTTTCTTTGAATTTTCTGACTGTTAATGAGCTAACTTCAGAGAGACATTTGATTGTAAGGGCTGCTAAGCTAAACCAACATAAAGGTATTTTGAAAACTTCAAAATTTGGGTCTAAGGATATGTTGCTTTGAATAGAGGTTCTGTTTAAAAGATCAGAAGCTATGGATTCCTCCCAGATTAATATGCTTTGATCAAGTAAGAGCCCTGGTCTCCATGGGAGCAATGACCCAGGTGACCCAACATCCAGAACAACTTCAAGACAACTGGCTGAGACGATACAGCCTCACAGACTACTACAGCCAAGACTTAACTATAATTCTAAATTTCCTCAGTATCCCAATAAGATTACCAGTGCCCATAGTCACTAAGTAGTATACAAAACTATGTCCAAGGGGCTAGAGAGATGGCTCAGAGGTCCTGAGTTCAATTCCCAGCACCCACATGGTGGCTCACAACCATCTATAGTGAGATTTGGTGCCCTTTCCTGGTATGTACGTGTTCATGCAAGCAGAACGCTGAATACATAATAAATAAATATATCTTTTAAAAAAAAGAAAAAAAGAGAACTACATCCAAATTCCCAAAATATTGTTTATAAATGTTTGTTAAAGGCTGTTAGTTACAAATGGTTAATGATCATAGTCAATATCTTTCTAAAGAAAAAAGGGGGATATGATATAGAAATGATTTAAAAAGGTAGATTATTGAATCTACTTTAATCCAAAAAACAACTGTTAGTCTAACAATACTTTATATGGATTTTGGTTTACTGATACAAATTTAAGGTCAATTTTTGTTACAATATATGTATATTTCAAAAAAATATATATATATGTATATTTCTACTCTTGTTAAGGTATTATGTTTACACAGCTCATTTAAAAATGTAATATATAGTTAAATACAAATAGTCATCTATAATAGTCAAATTTATAGTCAAGTTAGATTTTCTAGATATGCAGAGATATATTTCAGATGGATAGGTAATCTTCAAACACATCAAAGACCCACAGAGTATAGCATTAAAAATGTTTTAAGAACTTAAGACTTCTCTCAACAGTGACACATGTCTGCTCCTGACGGCATTAATTACTTTAAGAGGAAGATGGGCATAAAGAAAACTCCTTATGGAATTTGCTTTCAATATGGCAAGGCTAGCCATTTGGGCAAGAAACAGCTCTTGCCTGAACTGCTTGACTGTATGCTGTATAAACTGGACATGTAGGACCCACAGGAAAATTACTACTAAACTTCGTAAAAATAAGGCAGGATAGTCCTTTACAGTTCCTGCTTCACAAAAGAAATCACCAGACATTCTGCAGGACACAAAAGAAAGCCACTGATACTGTCAATACAGGTTGAGCAAATTTCAAATTTCCTGCTTCACTAAAAAGTGAAGTTACTATATTACCCTATAGGCTAAAGATGGATGACCCAACATTACAGAACTTTGGGTGACCAGGCAGTCAGATATTTCTGCCATTTCTAGAGTTTTAAGTTGCTTACAATACACTTCTTGTTTATTTAGGTAATTGAAGGGGAATCTCAAACAATTACCTGGTTTGGGAGGGTGTTTGCCCCAGGGCCTCCAAAAGCTTATAAAACCATCCATGTGCGCTTATTTGTCCCTTTTGTTTCCTGCTCTTCATTGGAACCTTGGTTTTGTAAGTTCTCCCCTTATTAAAGCTGATATTGAGCTTGCCTGGCTAATTCTGTTCGCCGTTCGTTTATGCAGTAACAGGTAATATTATATCCTTCTGGGGTCTTTGAGAGATTTCAAGACTAGATAGTTATAGTTTTCCTTAGTTATGACAATAAATTAGATATAAAACTTAAAACTCACAAAGAATAGATGATAGCGTATTTTCTTTAATTTTGCCAAATATAAAGAATAAATAATTATAACTGTAATTCTTGATTGATACCTGTTTTGCTATATTACAATATTAGAGTTAAAACCTTCCTTTTTAATTAGACAGAAAAGAGAAGATGCTATGGGATGTCCTTCTGTACACTGTGTATATATGTTGCTTTTATTGGTTGATGAATAAATATATTCTACGGCAGAATAGAATAGAGCTAGAAGGGAAAGCCAAACTGAATATAGGGAGAAAGAAAACAGAGTGGAAAACTTAGAATTTTCCAGGTATACACCTTAAATCCCAGAGCTTAAGGTAGAGGCAGGCAGACCTCTGTGAGTTCAAGGCCAGGCTGGTCACCACAGTGAGTTCCAGACAGGCAGAGCTACATAGTGAGACCTAGTCTCAAAAAAAAAGAATATGGAAAAAAGAAAAAAAGAAAAGGGAACAGAATTTACATTGAAAGGAAAACTAGATGAAAATGACTAAATAAAAAAAAAAGATTGGAAGATAATTCTCAGAAGTAAATTGACATTGGAGACAATGATTCTATGATAATAGCCTAAGGAAGCTGATGGTATTACTTATCCAGTGCACAAAAGCCTCAAAGTCAATGATGCCAATAGTGTTACTCAGTCCAAGTGTAAGGGCTGAGAAATTGCCTAAAGGTAAATAACCTGGTTTTCTGATATCCAAGGCAGGAAAATGGTACCCCAGTGTGCCTTTTTGTTCAATTCAGGTCTCAACCAATTAGATGGGCTCACAATTTGGTCTACTTATTCAAATTTCTTCCTCATACTCTTACAGGTATATATAAAAATACTGTTTACCAATTATATAGTGTGTAGGTTAATTTTTTTTTTCAACTTATCCCAAGTTACAGTGATCTGAAAGGAGAAAAATCTCAACTGAGAAAATGCCTCCATAAGTTCTGCTTGTACGCCAACTGTGGGGCATTTTCTTGATTAATGACTGATGTGGGAAGGGAACGCCTAGTCCATTATGGATGATGCTAACCACTGTGCAGGTGGTTCTGGATATGTAAGAAAACAAACGGAACAAGCCTGTAAGCAGCATTTCCTCTGTTGCTTCTGCTTCAGTTCCTGCCTTGAGTTCCTGCCCTGACTTCCCTTAGTTATGAAGTAGACCTGAGAGTTGTAAGATGACCAAGGTGTTATCACAGTAATACTAGGCATCCCTTAATCCATCTAAACTGCTAGAAAGGCATGGCAAGATAATATTCATAAACTAGATAAGGAGGACATGTAGTGTCGACAATTTCTAGATACATACCTGTTGACCGTGTAAGAGCTGTTGGTTGAGTGTCAAGAGATACCCTCAACATTCTGAGATTGGGAGAAAGATATTTTGACTCACTGGTTGGTTCTTGAGGAACATATGAAGATAATGGAGATGGAAAAGGCTGGCTAATGTCCAAATTAGAATGGTCTACCTATGAAATTAGAAAAGAAACGTTAAAAAACAAAACAAAAGATTCTATTAATTTGACACTTAACTTGGCTAAAAAACAAACTTCATTAAATGAACACTTAAGAGGTTCAATAATTTTATTTTAATCTTTTTAACTTTAATTTCATTTTACATATTTGAGTGTTTATCCTGCATATATATGTGTGCATCTCATACAGAGTTCAAAGGAAGTTATTGGATCCCCTGGAACTAGAGTTACAGTTATGAGTCACCATGTGGATACTGGAAATAGAACTTGGGTCTTCTTCAAGAATAAGCTGAGCTGGAGAGATGTTGCATCAGTTAAGAGCACTGGCTGCTCTTTTAGAGGATCTGAGTTCAATTCCTAGCACCCACGACTGTCTGACTCCAGTCTCTAAGGATGCAATACCCTCTTCTGGTTTCCAAGGACACTATATACATGTGAAGGGAAAACATCTTACACAAAATAAAGTACATCTTTAATAGAACAAGTACTCCATAACCTATCTCCCCAAACCAACACACTGGGGAGTTTTACCAATCACTTACGATCATATTCTTTCCAGGTGTGGTGGCATAGGCCTGAAATCTCAGAAGGAAGACTGAGGCAAAAGGATCACAAGTTTGATGCCAGCAGAAACTAACAGTGAGATCTGGGCCAGTCTAGTAACAAGGTGACACTCATATTCTCAAGTCAATTGAATTCATATACATATCACATTTTGTTTGGTGAAGATACCACTGATGGTGTCGTACAGAATATCACATATCACTAACTAGTGGCATTAAAGCATAAACATGTGCCTGGCAGTGGTGGTGCACAACTTTAATCCTAGCACTCAGGGAGGCAGAGGCAGGCGGATCTCTGTGAGTTCAAGGCCAGCCTGGTCTACAAAGCAAGTTCCAGGACAGTCAGAGATAAAGAAACAAACAAAACACACACACACAAAGGCATAAATATGCAAAATTTCCATGGAATTCATAGGATACTTAGGTAAAAATATACAGCGCTATTTGGTTTATAAAAGATTGGTCTAGTCATGCCATCTCAGAATAGAATACAAAAATAAACATAAGCATGATTTCATTTATTATCTATTTATTTACTTATCTGGAGATGGGATCTATCTATCTGTCCATCCATCCATCCATCCATCCATCTCCATCCATCCATCCATCCATCCATCCAGGGCAAGAGTTCATGTAGTTTGACCTCAAATGCTTCCCTACATAGCTGAGGCTGGCTTTTAACTTCTGATCCTCCTGTCTCCACCTGTCATGTGCAGGAATTACTGCATACATTAATTATCATGTTTTTGTTTGTTGGGTTTTCAGTTCTCAGGCAGCTACTTGTATTCATGGAATAAACATATATACATAAACAAACAAAGATAAATTAAAAAAATAATGATAATTAAGGGGCTGAAGACCTTCCTTAGTGAAAAAACACTTTTCTAGCATGCCCAAGGCCCTGAGTTCATTACCCAACAGCACACATGCAGATTTAAAAAATGGGAAATAAATCTTAACATTTTTGCTTTGATTTCGCTCATTTTCATACAATTCCTCGGGTCTCTGGGTCTATTAAATACTTCTTATTGTTTTCATTCCACATTATTTTCTCTTCACTTGGCTATAGCCAACAGGCTACAAAGTTATATGTATTTTCTTTGGTATTACCTGCTCTAATAGCTCTTTATGTTTGAAGATGTGATAATAGTACTTTTTTATTAAAGTTAAGGCTATAATAATTTTTCTCCCTTTCTTTCCCGACTTCTTACTCTGCCTTTCTCCCACAAGCTATACTAAAATCAATCTTTAGGAGCAGGATTCTTTACTTAAAATTTTTGAGCTTTTCAGAACTTATATTTTGGGTTATGTATTATTTAGTTGACCTAGGCAGCCACTCTGTATTTTAGTCTGTTTTCTGGCATCTCTAGCAGCTCCCTATCCTACTCCTGTTCTCATTAGTTATGACTGAAATATGCTTCCTGACACTGTTGTATTTCTCTTTGCAAGGTACAGGACATTCCCAAAAGAGAGCTACTAGGCTCAGAAAGGTGTTTAGGGAAATAGAGGGAGAGTGTGGTATTAAAGGTGTTCACCACCACTGCTAGCTAGAAAACTAGACCTCTTGAGAAGAGAGGGTAACAGGTCAAAGGCTGTTCATCATAAAGTAGTTACTTCCCTACTGATATCCTTGTACATTGAGTCACAATCCTAGAAGTATTCATTGTAAAGTGTGGATGAAAATAATCCACACTAACCCAGTCTGAGGACAGACTAAGTGGACTACTATGTACCTGTGATGCTCTTGGCACTGCACCTGAGAAGAGTGTCAGCCATTATATCCCCACTCTCATTATAAATGCCTACTTTAAAATACTAAAGAAAACAAAATCGACCCCACGAAACTCTCTTACATAGTCAACAACCTAGACATAAAAGCAAAACTCTTCATGCTATCTTTGCTCACTCATGTTCTCAAACCAACTTCTAAACTTGAATGAGATACAAGGACACATCACAAGTGAGACCCAGGTTGGCCTGACAGCATCACACAAACAAGGGTGGGACTCAAGGAATGTTAAAGACAAGATGGTCCAAAGATCCAAACAAATGAAGTCTTATAAAGCATTTTAAAAAGTCCCTAGAGTCACCATTTTTCAGTACAGGTACCATAACAGGGGCATAAACAGATGTGGGGAAGATGTGTACAAGTTTATGCAGTTCATAGAAGGAGGCAGAGTTAGAGCCCTTCAGAAAGATGGACTAATTTGGATTCTAAGCACTGCAGTATTCTTCCCAGGGAAACAATGATGCTTGAGATTTTCTTAAATGCCAGAAGTCAAAATTTTCAAGAACTTCTAAACAGAAATACTTGAGTATCTCAAGCTAGCACATTAAAGACCAGAGGGACAGCACAATTGAATGTCCTCATGAATGTGTTCAGTTTTCACATGTTCCAAAGATTCTTGTTGACCCAATACAAAAAAGATACTTCAAGACAGAAAGCCTGGAGGACCAAGTATGGTGGTAGACGCCTTCAATCCTAGCACTTAGGAAGCATCGAAAGGAGCTCTCCTGAGATCAAGGATAGCCTGATCTAAACAACACACTCCAGGGCAGCAGGACTACATATAGATACCTTGTCTCAAAATTTAAAAAAAAATAAAAATTAAAAAGTCTAGAACTCCAAAAGATGTCCTTTTCTAAGACATCACAGAATTCATGAAATGAAGTCAGGCAGTGGTGGCACACACTTTTAATTCCAGCACTTGAGAGGCAGCAGACAGATCTCTGTGAGTCCAAGGCCAGACTGGTCTACAGAGTAGTACCAGGAGAAAAGCCAAGGCTATACAAAGATATCCTGTTTGCAAAAACCAAAACAAACAAACCAAAAAATTAAATAACAAACTTGTTTAGTGTCATGGTCTATGAAAAAAACATTTTGTCAACATTTAGATCATATTCCTGGGTATGAAATGAAGACCACATTGTGAGTCAGAATTGCTATCAAAAGATAAATGAGCCTTTTTACTTTCATTATCATTTTCTTTTCAACTAAAATATTCCTTTACCTATCCATAAAATAGGTCAAGTAGAGTAACTTACAGACTTGTCAAAATGGCTCTCCTCAGATGATAGTTGTGAAGTAGGTAGCCAAAACAAGGAGCTGTCGCAAAGATCATCAAGCATTTTCTCTAAATCTGCAAGCTCCAAGTACTCACCAGTTAAGCCTTGTAGGTCCCATGTCTGGGAAATTGTAAAAAGTAAAAAACAAACACCATTTCCTGAATCAGTACTGAAAAAGGCCACATTTCTACAACTATCACTTCATTGTATATCTTACCTCTCTTTGCAGTTCAGAAATTCTTTCACTGTGTACACCAGCAGTTTTATATAGGCTGGAGTACTCATCATCACCATGCAGAGTAACAATGCCAGACTCAGCCTTCTCCTGTAGGCCATCTATTTAAAAACAAAAAAAAAGAAGTCATGTTGCACAAATGTATATACAACTAAACTGGACTCAGCTCCCCAGGCCAAGGAATTCCACCTTAGCCGTCTTCAGTTTCCTTAGCTCACTAGAATCAGTGATGCATCACCAGTCAAAGTTAAAGCAAAGAGGGACTTGCATCTCATGCTGTCAAATTTACTAAAAAGCTGCTCCATACAGCAGCAGATACAGCCTTACCCAAATTATAATCTGAGGAATCTGCAACTTCTTCAAAGGTCTGCTGCTTTAAACCTTGTAAAATCCAAGATTCATAAGTTGATACTTTCATTGCAAAAATAATGTTTGAAGATCCTGCCTTCTCTGTAAGGTCAAGATTGTTTATATCATACTGAAATGAAGGTGACTGTGTTTCCCCAAGACCAACAACCCAGTTGTAAGCTTTTTCTCTTAAAGAAAATGACTTAAGCTCTGGAATGACAGAAAGAGGCTTACTGAGCATGTTCTGAGGAGCATTAGGGGGTGACTTTAAATCTGAATCCCGAGATAGGGAGCTACCACCATCATCTTCTTTATGCAACAATGGTTTTGAAGCTGCTGGTTCCAACACCCCAGGAGTAGACTGGTATTTTGGATCCTTAAGCTTATCCATGAAAGAGTTTTCATCACTATAATTTAATGGGGAAAGATCTGGTTTGGGGGGTTCTCTCTCACGGCTGTCATCTGCTAATGGCTTATTGATGTTGATTTGGATTTCATTTATAGGACTCTCTTGCTTGGAAGGCTCAATTGAGGCAATAACTGCCTCAAAGGCTACATTTTCAGTAGCATCAACATTTTTCTCACCAAAAGTAGAAGCTGCCTTTTGGTTTCTTTCCTCTTGAAAATACGGTTGTTCTGATGTCTCATCCAAGTTGGCTTTAACTGTTCGAAGGGGACCACCAGAAGCCTCTAGTTTGGAGATTTCAAGTCCTCTAGAGAGGATATGTGCTTCTGAAACTTGTTCATGACTATCAAGGACGGCAGCCAACCCAATATACTTTACCTCTGGAGATTTGGCATGCACCTGAGGTGACGGCAAAATATTTCTAATCTCCTTTTGCTTAAAAAATGGAGGTAATGTTTTCTTCTTATCTTCATTTCCTTCAAAGCCCCCCAAAGAATCCATCTTTGGACTCATTTTATCCTCAGATGGAGACCTTAAACAAACATTCTCAAGATGGTTAACAGAGGTCAAGGGAGCCCCTTTAGCTCTTTCCAACATGCATCGCAGGAAAGAATATGACATTTTATTAGGAGGAGTAATTTTGCATGGGAAGGAAGCCTGGTCCGTATGGGGTAGACATGCTTCTGACTGCTGTAAGATTTCCTGTTTCCAATACTGAGCATGTGAACAAGCCGAATCAAAGTCATTGATTCTTCTAGCAGTTATGCTTTCATCACTAACATCAGATAAAGTTGAAGAGGAAACCTGGTCTTTATCAGCCAATTTGCCTTCTGGTTGCTGAGTATCCTTTTCTGTCTGCCATGACATATATGAAAGCAAGGCATCATAGTGATCAGAACCATTGGGGCCTTTCAGTTCATCAGGAGCATTAGGTGGTGCATTCTCTCCATTATTCTCTTGTTCAGACGGGAAAAGAGAGCGCTGAGACCCAAAAGTTGTGCTACCTGTAAGTGGATGTTGAGATATACTAAGGCAACTGTTAACTAAGTCTGAAGATGTTTCTGAGGTGGCCTGGAATAAAGCTTCTCTAACTTCTGACGGCCGAGAAAGCCATTCAGTATCTTCCGACTTATCAGGAATCTCTCTGAAAATACAAAGTTATAAAGAAATTATTAGCTCCTTAATACTTTAATTTTCAAATACTAACAAATAACACAAACTTGGTGTCACTAAAATTAGGTTTACTTGAAACTGCATTTTTGCTATGTTGGGGGATAATGCTCTTATACACTGTAAAGATTTGTCATTCATATTGGTTTCAGGAAGTATAGGTGGGGTGACCAGACTAAGAAAATTCTGGGAAAAGAAGGCTACAGTCAGTTACCAGCCAGATGTAAAGAAAACAAGATGAGAATGTAGCTGCCCAACATGGATAACTGAATCCACTGAAAGCCTGAGAAAGCTTGGGAAAGAATAAAGCATGTTTTCATGGTAGCAGCAATTTCTCGGGTCTGCTCTGCTTGCTATAGGCAAGCAAGGGCTCTCATCTAAGAGAGGCTACCTGACTCAGCTTTAGCTGCAAAACCCTGCAGCTCTTAAGAGGTCCTGCCACGAAACACTTAAATGGTGTTGATAAAAGCTGACTGCATGCTTGTTTGTTTTCAGCCGTAGCAAGAAAAAAGTTGTGCTGTTTTAAAATGCTGGCATTATGGTCCATCCTGCCAGGGCAAACTCTGACTCTTTCAGACAGGCAGTCCGACTGAGTGTGGTCTGTGAGCAGAATGCTGCATCTTGTTTGCCGGCAGGGACCTTGAAACGCCAGAGAGTTGTGGCAATAAAAATGGCTACAGCTGGTATCTCTGCCATGAGGCTGGAAAGCTAAGGAATGGGCTGGATCCAGCCGCCAAAGCCACAGCTTTAGTCCTACCGATATTGCTTGGTAAATTAAAGACTCATGTGGTCAAAAAAGAGACATACAGTAAAAGAAAGATTCAAAGTCAAAGAAAACGTCTAAATGATTTACAGTGTGTTAAAAATATATGCAGGCTAAAAAAGTTCTTAAAGTAAAAAAAAAAAAAGAAAAAGAAAGAAAGAGAGTAGTTGGGTGTGGTAGTACACACCTTTAATCCCAACACTTGGGAGGCAGAGGTAGATTGACCTCTGTGACTTCTAGGTGTGGTAGCACACATCTTTAATCCCAGTACTGAGGAGGCAGAGAAGTACCTCTGTGAGTTCAAGGACAGCCTGGTCTACAGAGTTATTCCAGGACAAAGATATATAGAAAACTTGTCTCAAAAAGTAAAAGTAAAAATAAAAAAAAAATAGAGGTTAAAATAAAGCTGCACAAAGATGGAAAATACACAGAGAATCTTGATACTGTATGCTATAATGCTCTCTTTGAATTGTTTGAATATTGAGAAAGGAGCAACAGCTGCTAAAAGATATTTGTTTATAAATGCTGCTGAACTAATCCAAGATAGATATTTTGAAAATACCTTGACTTCAAAATTTGGATCTAAGGTTATGATGCTTTGGAAAAGTCCTTTTTTTGTTTTCGCCGACGATGAGACCCTGTGGATTGCTTCTATCCCAATATGGTATGATAGACCACACCCTCCTGAAACGTTGCTGTGAACACCCTCAAAAAATTACTTTGCTCAACTGCCAACTGAAATGAACCTAGCAAACAGGTTATACCATGAAAGACCTGAATAACAGTGCCCCGATTCAGCACGAAGCAGTTTGGAGAGAAAAAACTGTGCCCATATTCCCAAATATTGTTTATAAGTGTTCTTTTACATTTAAAGGGGGATATAATTTAGATATGAATAATTTGCATTGGTATAAATCTTGGTTTATTGATATAAATTTAAGGTCAATTTTGTTATATATATATATATATGCATATTTGTATGTATTTCTGCCCTTGACTAAGGTATTGTGATTGTGTAATTCATGTAAAAATGTAATATATATAGGTTGTTAATGGATAATCATCAGTAATAGTCAAGCTTGTAGTCATGTTAGTTAGATTTTCTAGATGTGCATAGATATATTTCAGATAGGCATTCTTCATATCTTTCAAAGACTACAGAATTTGGCATTTAATGACTTAATAACTTAGGGATTTTCAGGACAACAAGACACGTCTGCTCCTGGCAACATCAATCTACTTCAAGAGGAAGATGGACATTGAAGAGGCTCTTTATGGAGTTTGATAGCCATTTGGGCAAAAAACTGCTCTTGCCTGGACTGTTACATAAACTGGACACAGAGAACCCGCAGAGAGAGGACTGCTGAACTTGCCTAAAGGTGAGATGGTCTTTCGGGGTTCCTGATTTATGAAAGAGTCTGCAAGACATTCTGCAGGACACAGCAGAAAGTGACTGAACTGTCTTTGAATTTCCTGCTTCTTGGAAATGTCTCTGGATACTATGGGCCTGTAGGCCGAAGATGGATGCCCCAACAATACAGAGAAACTTTGGGTGACTGTCCAAATTTCTAGAGTTTTGAAAGTTGCTTATTTCTTGTTTACTTAAGTAATATTATATCCTTTTGGAGTCTTTGATGGAGTTGAAGAATAGATAGATAGTTATAGTTGTTTTCCTTTGTTATGATAAAAGATAAAATAGATATAAATATTGTAACTGTATTCTTACTTGATAACTGTTTTGTTATATGTAATTTTGCTATGTTAAAGTTAAAGCCTTCTTTTTTTTGTTTAAACAGAAAAAGGGGAAATGCTGTGGGAGGGTCTTCTGTTTTGTGTTGATTTCATTGGTTAATAAAGAAACTGCCCTACAGAGAAACCCTGTCTCGAAAAACCAAAAAAAAAAAAAAATAAAGAAACTGCCTTGGCCATTTGATAGGCCAGCTCTTAGGTGGGTGGAGTAGACAGAACAGAATGCTGAAAGGAAGAGGGAAGTGAGGCAATCGCCATGCCTCTCCTCTCTGAGGCAGATGCCATGGAGCCAGCTGCCAGATCAGACATGCTGAATCTTTCCCGGTAAGCCACCACTTCGTGGTGCTACCCAGATTATTAGAAATGGGTTAGTCAAGATGTGAGAGTTAACCAAGAAGAGGCTGGCACTAATGGGCCAGGCAGTGTTTAAATGAATACAAGTTGTGTGTTGTTATTTCCAGGCAAAGCTAACCCTGCAGGAGTCATGCGGGACGAAAAGCAGGCCTGCCCACAGCTCCTTCTACAAGAATGCCTCACTGAGAAAAGGTACCAAGCCATGTGGCTCAACATAGACAAAACATAGACAAAAACATATGAGTTAATTTAAGTTATAAGAGCTAGTTAATAATAAGCCTGACTCAGAGGTTAAGAGAACTGGCTGTTCTTCCAGAGGTCTTGAGTTCAATTCCCAGCAACATGGTGGCTCACCAACCATCTGTAATGAGGTCTGGCGCCTTCTTCTGACATGGCAGAATATTGTATGCATAATAACTTTTAAAAAAAATAGTAAGTTTGAGCTAATAGGCCAAGCAGCTTATAATTAATATAGTTTGTATGATTATTTGGACCTGGGTGCCCAGGAAATAAAAGTGCAGTCTCTGTTGACATTCTGGGCGGTGGTGATGCATATCTTTAATCCTAGCACTTGGGAGGCAGAGTTTGAGGGCAGCCTGGTCAGTTTCAGGACACCCAAAGCTACACAAAGGATCCCTGTCTCAAAAAACCAAAAATAAAAGAAAATAAAAGTTCTAATCTTCAATTCCTACAAGGCAGTTAAAGATGAAACAAAGAAAAGTTTGCAATTAATGAGTGAACCCAATATTGCCTTGACATTCTCCTAAAATAATCAATTTCAACAAACAAAAAAGTTTAAAATAGCATTTTAAAAAGTTTATAGTTTTAAATACATGTTATCTATTATGAATTAATATTCATCTAACTTGTATTCCTCTGCTTACTGGTCAGGTTATTGCGCTTATGGTCTACTCCCAAAATACAACAAAGCTTCATCACTTTGATAATTTAACGTGAAGAGAGAACTATGCAACTGTGATTCTAAAATAATATACAGTATAATGACAGGGTTTAATAAACATCTAGAGTTTTGAGTTTAAGGTAGAATTTTCATTCATTCTAACAGAAAACAAAGCCTTGGACAATTCCAAGTATATTTTGAAGAATTATAGAATGTCCTCCCATTTAAAATGTTCTAAAAGATATCAATTTGAAATGTTTTTGTAAAAATCTTACTTGATATTTGTACATAGTATAAAGAAAGCTAACAAGACCAATTCAAAAAAAAAAAACCACAAAGTTTAAAACAATTGAAGACTCAATTTTGATAGTTTTGACACAGCGCTTATGTTAGTTCTGGATAGAAACTTTGCTTCTCCTCATCTCTTGTATAAACAAGGGTCACCATTGCTGTTAATTTAAAGTGTTTTTGTATTAATTAAGCATTTGGCTGGCTGTTAATAAACCGTTTTAAAGAAAAAAAAAACAAGACCAATTCAATAACAGTTGAGCAAAATGAAAGTGCAGAGAAATTAGTATCCTAGAAATGGCTGCTTCCTTTGCATAATTAAGGTAGGATGGAGAGGAAGGACAGTGGCAGCATACAGAGAGATTTAGAATAAGGAAACACAGGGTACTGAGTATGTCTAAAGTATGCCTAAAGGGACATACAAAACCATACGTATCTCTAAATGAACTATAGTCACCTAGTATATCTCTGCATGCAAAACACTGCACCAATTTAATACCAAGAAGGTGATAAGAATATCTAGCCCCTACTCCAAATCCCACTTTATCCTGAAACCATTAATACTAATAACAACTTATAGTATGAGTAGAAAGTTTAGAAGGCAAAAATGAATCACCCTACCTCAAAGGTGCAAATTCTAGTTCACTTTGTTGGAGCAAAGAATCAGGCTCAAATTCCTGGTCTTGTGTCAAACATGTCAGCAAAGGCAAATCAGGAGTAGCAAAATTATCCTGGATGACTGCAAAGTTTCAAACGTAAAAAAGCTGAGCAATCAAGAAGTGCAGTGTTTGGTGTATTCATTCAATACTTAAGCGTCTAACCATGCTACCACCTGGAAGATGCTACAGTCATTACAATAATATAACAACAGCAGCAACCATCTACAGAACCTGTAAAAGCCCAATCATTTAGCACACAGTATTTCATTTACTCCAAGACAACTTTGAAGATTAAGTACCATTTACTATACATACAGGTAAGGAAATATGATTACAAAATTTAATATTATTAAATAATCTCTTCATATGTAAGGTTAAGTGCCTGCATTCCAACTTCTCTGCAAATTACTATACTATATATATATTATAGTGTTTGTGAACAATTAAAGAGTGTCTCTTTTATTGCATCTCTACTCTGTGTGAGTAGTAAGGTGGGTGGGTAGATATAAGCATGCAATGGTGCTCAAGTGGCAATCAGGAGACAACTGCAGTAATCATTTCCCTCCTTCCATTATGTGGGTCCCAGGTCAAACTCAGATCATCCAGTTAGGCAGCAGATACCTCTGCCTACTTAGTCATCTTACTGGCCCCTCAATCTTAAGTAACATAAAAACTTATACCATTATATCAAAGTGTAATCTAAGGCTCTCGGTGATGAGGATCAAAATTATATTCAATATTGAAACAAGGCCCCCCTTCTAAAAAAACACTTATAGTTCTCTATAAAACTACGTATGATGTTAATATGTAAGTAACAGTGTGGCCAGTTTTAAATAAACATTTCTTAAATTTTCTGTTTAAGCTCTAATATGAGAAGATATCACAAACACAAATGTTCTTTGGAGTCCTGGTTCTGAAATATATAAAATAGGTATTACCTCAAGAGTTTGAGAACTTGCTTTAAAGAAAAAAACACCACGGTTTCCTTCCATCTTAACTAATTAAGTAGTAGTTGTTGGTTCAGGGAATACTATTTCTGGTTTTTTGAGACAGGTCTCTCTATATAAGCACTTGGCTATCCTGGAATTCTCCATATAGATTAGGATGGCCTCAAACTCGGAGATCCTCCTGCCTCTGCCTTTCCTTCCCAAGTGCTTAAGTAATTCTTATGTCACTAAATACATAAACTAGTATAAAATCCTTATTTCCCATAGCATTTATACAATTATAAAACAAAAATTAAATATTCATGCAAAATTCATTAGAAATAAACAGAAATACTGTTTATTTCTAAAACAGCAGTTTACTAAAATTGGCTTTAGTGATGTGTTGCTAAAACTATACCTCTTTTTCAACATGAATTAATTACTACTACAGCACACTTTCTTGATTTCAACTATGTTTTTTTTTTACTATATTTTGTGGGTTCTTTTTTAAAATATTTATATATACAATATTCTGTCTGTGTGTATGCCTGCAGGCCAGAAGAGGACACCAGACCTCATTACAGATGGTTATGAACCACCATGTAGTTGCCGGGAATTGAACTCAGGACCTTTGGAAGAGCAGGCAATGCTCTTAACCGCTGAGCCATCTCTCCAGCCCTATTTTTTGGTTTTTTGAGACAGGGTTTCTCTGTAGCTTTGGAGCCTGTCCTAGAACTAGCTCTTGTAGACTGGCCTCAAACTCATAGAGATCCACCTGCCTCTACCTCCTGAGTGCTAGGATTAAAGGCTGATTTCAACTATGGACACAGTGAGGACTCCACCCTGGAACTCCCACAAAGGGTTTTTGTTCACAGTGGTGTTATAGTCCTGACTTGGGGCTCTGGATTCTGCACACTGGCTTGGTTCCTCTCAAACTCCACAAAGCTGCTTTATCATCACAGATAGATCCTCAGTGACAAGTGAAGCATCAGCTGCTCTTAGTAGGATTCCAATTAAAACTATTTAGTGAATTGGTTAAAAATATGAAATGGGGCTGGGCGGTGGTGGCGCACGCCTTTAATCCCAGCACTCGGGAGGCAGAGGCAGGCGGATCTCTGTGAGTTCGAGACCAGCCTGGTCTACAAGAGCTAGTTCCAGGACAGGCTCCAAAACCACAGAGAAACCCTGTCTCGAAAAACCAAAAAAAAAAAAAATATATGAAATGGATAATAACTTTCAAAATAAAATTTTAGTCAGTAAAGTGCTTTCTGTTCAAGCATAAAAACCTGGGGTCAACTCCATGAAGCTATATAAAAAAGTTAGGCATGATGTTGCATACTACCAGTTCCAGGACTAGAGAGGTAAAAATCACAGGGCAGCCAGTGAGTTACCCTGTCTCAAAAGAGAAAATGACTAGCTCCTAAGGAACAATACCCGGAGCTGTCCTCTGGCATGCACATGCACAGCATACATTGGAAACACAAACACATGAAAAACTTTTTAACATCAGAGAAAATTTAATATGGTTCATCTTTGGCACTGAGTTAGAAAATCATTTTGAAACCTTCAAAGCAGATAATTTTCATCCCTGAAAGAATCAACAAAGTTTTGAAAAAGAATCTGAGGCTAATAAAGAACTTTAGTGGGTACAAAAAATTATTTTCAATTAACTAGGTACAATGAGCATTTAAAGGATCTGGTAATCTTTTTAAAAATTAATTATCTGGGGCTGGAGAGATGGCTTAGTTGTTGTGTTAGGTTCGGCAGGCTACTTTCCCGGCACCCGGCCTCCCGCACAGCTAGCTTTACCCGAAATAATTACACGGAAACTGTATTCTTTTAAACACTGCCTGGCCCATTAGTTTCAGCCTCTTAACCCATTTCTAATAATCTATGTAGCACCACAAAGTGCGCTTACCAGGAAAGATCTTAACCTGCATCTGTCTGGAGTGGGAGAACCATGGCGACTCCCTGACTCGGCTTCTTTCTCCCAGCATTCTGTTCTGTTTACTCCACCCACCTAAGGGTTGGCCTATCAAATGGGCCTAGGCAGTTTCTTTATTAATTAACCAACAAAAGCAACAGATTAGAAAGAAATCACTCCCACATCACTTAGAGATTTTTATTTATTTATTATGCATACAGTTTTCTGTCTGCATGCATGCCTGCACACCAGAAGAGGGCACCAGATCTCATTACAGATGGTTGTGTGCCACCATGTGGTTGCTGGGAATTGAACTAAGGACCTATGGAAGAGCAGCCAGTGCTCTTAACCTCTGAGCCATCTCTCCAACCCTCCCACATCACTTAGTAGTTAAGAGCACTGGCTGCTGTTATCCAGAGGACCTAAATTTGATTCCCAGCACCCACATGGTGACTTACAATCATCTGTAAATCCAGTCTCAGGGAATCTGACACTCTCTGTCACTAGGGTGGTACACAAACATACATGCAAGCAAAACACCCTACACATAAAATAGTATGAAAAATAAATAGTAAAATTAAAAATCAGTTATTCCTAACCAAGTTCCAGAACTTACAGAAATCATTATTATCATAAATATTGACATATAGCCAAGAAATCAGTAATAAGTTATAAGCACCATGTGAACAACTCCACAAATATTTAAAAACACATGAGTGGAGTTTGAGAGCTAAGTCAGGTAAGTAGGAAACTGCATTTCCTAAGGGAGCAGACGAGAATTAAACAGTTAATTTTCAAGCATGCCATGTATATGTGTATAAGAGACAGGAAGACTATATAACAAACTGGCAATGCCTTCTTCATACTGCTCAACTGTTTCCTTACGTGTGGACAGACTGTTATTAGATGAAAGCCTAATACCATGATGACAGCATCCATGAAGGACAGACTAGCAGGAATGGCATGTCCTACTGTTGTAGAAAGTTAAGGCCTACCAGGTCAAAAGGAACCAGCATGAGTGGGGAGGGGGATCCTGCCTGGAACTGTCAGGGGTCCTTATCATGCCTAGCCAATGAGAGACGAGCATGAAATGTCAACTGAATCAGAACACCTGGTTGCTAGGAAGGTTATAAGTTTTTCCCCATTGTTAAGTAAATGAGTATGCTATAAGTCTTCCACCTGACTCCCAGAGTTTGTGTTCCATGTTGGGCCTTTTCACCCCCTCCCCCAAGGAAGACATTAGGGCCCAGCAACATACTGTAAAGGTAAAACTGCAGCTACATACACAACACATTAGGACACAAAAAATTGCATTGTATAGTCTCTCCTTCAATGCTAAATTCTTTCTATTACAGAATTTTCCTTGACATCTTGCCATAACAGAACTTACTTTTTTTTTAAACATTACACTACAGATTTATTATGTATATGGTATTCTGCCTGCATGTATGTCTGTACAACAGAAGAGGGCACCAGATCTTATTAAAGATGGTCGTGAGCCACCACGTAGTTGCTGGGAATTGAACTCTGGACCTCTGGAAGAGCAGCCAGTGCTCTTAACCTCTAAGCATCTCTCCGGCCGACAGAACTTATTTTCTGTTGCTGGTATATTACTTTTTGTTTTGTTTTTCAAGACAGGGTTTCTCTATGTAACAGCCCTGGCTATCCTGGAACTTACTCTGTAGATCAGGCTGGCCTCGAACTCAGAGATTCACTTGCCTCTGCCTCCCAAGTGCTGGGATTAATGGCATGCCCACCACCAATCATTTTACCTTTTTAAAGATCTTATATTGATTTAATGCAGTGTCTTATATTTTATATGTCCTCATTTTAACTTCTACAAGTTAGCAAGCATTTTTGATCAAAAGTCAAAGATAAATATTTTAGGCTTATTGGTAACATATGAACTGTCACATGTACATTGTTTTCACAGTCTTTTAAAAATTCAAATGGTGGGGCTGGAGAGATGGCTCAGCGGTTAAGAGCACTGCTCCTTCTTCCCAAGGTCCTGAGTTCAATTCCCAGCAACCATATGGTGGCTCACAGTCATCTGTAATGAAATCTGGTGCCCTCTTCTGGCCTGCAGGCAGACATACAGGCACAACATTGTATACATAATAAATAAATAAATCTTTTAAAAAATTTCAAATGGTGGTGGCTGTAGCTCAGCAGTAAAGGATTTGCTAAAGCCCTGGGTTACAGCCAGAGCACCATAATAATCTCAGCACTTGGGAGGTTAAAGCAGAAAGCCCTAGAGTTTCCAGGAGGATATGTCACAAGGCTCTTTCTGAGAACAACTAAATTAAATAAATATGGAGAATAAGCACTTTTAGAATTGGTACTCCCAGAGAGTACAAAATCAGGCCTCAGCCTGCGGGGCTACAGTTTGCAGACAGTAGCACTCATCTCATAGTACTGCTGTCTTCTGTTTATAGAACTTTCTTCACAGAAAAGGATGCTAGCATTCATCTATCTACCCTTGGATCAAAATAGTCGGTACTATGTGTCCTGTAAGTTAATGGACAAAAAAAAGGAGTTGCTTTCTCCTTAATGGCAACCTTCAATCATTTGGTCACAATTATCTCCTCCCACCAAGGCTATCCTAGTTAGGATTGCTATTGCTGCTGTGAGGAGACACTATGACCACGGCAACTCTTACAAAGGAAAACATAATTGGGGTGGCTTACAGGTTCAGAAGTTTAATTTATTATCATCATAGCAGGACATGGCAGCCTGCAGGAAGACATGGTGTTGGAGGAGCTGAGCCTACATCTTACAGAAAACAAGAAGTGAATTGAGATACTGGGTGTGGCTTGAGCTTATGTGAAACCTCAAAACCCACCTTCACAGACAGACACTTACTCCAACAAAGCCACACCTCCCAATAGTGCTACTCCCTTTGGGAGACATTTTCTTTCAAACCACCACATTCCACCTTCCTGGTCCCCAAAGGCTTGTAGCTATACCAAATGCAAAAATGCATTCAGTCTAACTTCAAAAATCTCCATAATCTGCAACAGTCTCAAACTTATTTAAAAGTCTAAAGTTCAGTCTCTTCTGAGATTCATACAATCAATCTCTTAACTGTAATCCCCTGTAAAATCAAAACCAAAAAGCAGATCACATACTTCCAACATATAATGGCACATGATATACATCACTATTCTAAAACATAGGGAAGAGAGCATGAGAAAATACTGAACCGAAAACCAACTTGGCAAACTCCAAACTCTGCATCTCCGCATCCAATGTCAAAGCACTCTTCAGCTCTCCAATTCCTTTCAACTTGGTTGACTGTAACACATTTCTTTCTCTTGGGCTGGTGCCACTCCCTGTTAGCAGCTTTCCTCAGCAGGTATCCCATGACTCTGGCATCTCTAACATCTTGGGGTCTCCAAGGCAATCCAGGCTTTAACTACACAGCTTCACACGATGGCCTTTCTGGGCCTCCATTCAGCGACACCCCTAACACATACCTGACCTCAGCAGCTTTCCTTAGGCACAGAGGCAAATTCCACAACCCCTTTCTTTTATCCTTGACTCTAAAGCCAGAACAACATGGCCAAAGATGCCAAGTTCTGCTGCTTGCTGCGTCTAGAACATGGCCCCGTTGTTCAAAAACATCTTCATCAGCTTTCTGTTTTCAGTGGTTTCCTTCACTGCCTAAGGTTGGTTGTCCTGGGACTTGCTCTGTAGACCAGGATGGCCCTAAACTCACAGATCTTTCAATCACATCTTCACCAGCTTTCTGTTTTTCGATAGCTACCTTCACTGCCTAAGCTTGGTTATTCTGGAATTTGCTCTGTAGACCAGCCAGCCTCTGAGTGCTGGGATTAAAGGCATGTGTCACCACATTGTGCTCTAAGCTTTTCTTTAATTCCATTTCACAAATTGGAAATTTAGCTGAGTGGGATATGCCCTGAGGTCAACACTCCCTTTATTCCATTTCCTAATCTGTTCATCTCCTTAGAACACATGACTTAGCTCTATTCGCCTTCCTGGTTGATCCTTTTCTCCTCAGATTTCACATTTTTAGTTTACCCTGCTCAGTTTGTTCCTTTTCATTATAAATCTTCGTTAGAGTTACCACCAATAACCACATAACAGAGTCTATACTAGGCTGCTTTGAGATCTCATCTGTCAATAGAATTAATCAAAATCTCTCACTTTAGCCTCAGGCAGAGTCTTCGGACAAGGGCAAAAAGCAGTCACATTCACCAAAATATCACAAGATAAGTGAGTGTCTAAGGCCACATGCAATCTTCTCCTCTGAAACCTTTTGAGCCAGGCACCTACTGTTCAAATCACACTCAGACCACTGTCTTCAATGTCCCTAATAGGATGACCCATTAAGCAGCACTTAAAGAATTCAACTGCTTTTCTTTAATTTTTTTTTTTTTTTTTTTTTTGGTTTTTCGAGACAGGGTTTCTCTGTAGCTTTGGTGCCTGTCCCGGAACTAGCTCTTGTAGACCAGGCTGGCCTCGAACTCCCAGAGATCCGCCTGCTTTTCTAATCCAGTCCCAAGGTCCATATTTCTTCAAACAAAGGTCATGGTCAGGCCTATCACAGCAATACCCCAGTTCCTAGTACCAACTTACATCTTAGTCAGGGTTTCTATTGCTATGAAAAGACACCATGACCATAGCAACTCTTATAAAGAAAAACATTTAATTTGGTGGTTTACAGACCAGAGGTTCAGTCCATTATCAACATGGTGGGACATGGCAGTGTGTAAGTAGACATGGTACTAGAGAGTTCTACATCTTGTAAGCAACAGAAAGTAAACTGAGATACTAGGCATGGTTTGAGCATATGAGATCTCAAAGCCCACCCCCAAAAGGACATACTTCTTCCAACAAAGCCATACCTACTCCAACAAAGCCACACCTCCTAATAGTGCTATTCCCTGAGCTTTTTGGGCCCACTTAGGTTCAAACTACCACAAAGGTCACCACGTTTCTCTAAAGAGAAATATACAATTGACTTTAATGGTCCATAATACACAGCACAGCACTAGCATCCCGGCTTGCACATTAGCTTGTTTTGAAAAGAATAAGCCCAACTGGGTCCTAGTCTGCTTCTCTACAAAACTCCATAAAACAATCTTTATGGTTAAATTCCTTGATTTGAAAAGTACTTTTAGTTTATCTTTGGTAGAAAGCTAAGAAAGTCATTCTCCACTAAGAGCAGTAAGATCTATGTCAAAGAAATGACTCAATTTCTTCATCTTAATTGTTTTGTTCTCAAAGCTGAGGATAACAATAGTTTAGAATAGGTCTATACAAACCTAGACACATCTGTGAAAAAGGAATCTAGTTGAGAAATTGCCTCCATCAGATTGCCTGTAACTGAGTCTGTGAGGCATTTTCAAAATCAATGATTGATAGGAAGGGCTGAACCCACTGTGGGTGATGCCACCTCTAGACAGGTGGTCCTGGTTGTATAAAAAAAATGCTGGGAAAGAAAAGAAAGAAAGAAAGAAAGAAAGAAAGAAAGGAAGGAGGCAGGCTGGCTGGCTGAGCAAGCCAAGGGGAACAAGCCAGTAAACAGTGTTCTTCAATGGTTTCTTCTCCAGTTCCTGTGAGTTCCTGCCTTAGTTTCTCTCAATGGACTGTGATCAAGATATGTAAGCCAAATAAACTCTCTCCTCCCTAAGTTGTTTTTGGTCATGATCTTTATCTCAGAAATGAAAAGCAAACTAAAACATGGAGATATTTATATTATTTGTCAGGAAACACTGAGTCTCCACTGATGAGGGAACAAAGATAGTATGAGGTTTTCCCAAGAGCAACTGTGCTATGGAAGACACATACCCATTAGAATGGGAGTGGTCTCCTTTTAGCCTTCTATGAACAGTGGGGTATGCTAATAAGCATATATAATATAGCTAAGCCAACCAGCCAGTGTGAAGACCTAGAACCAACTAACTCTTCTGAGTATAGCTCCACAGAGATCTTCAACTAAAATGTTAAGAGCAAGGCTAATAAATGTGCATGTATGCACACACACACAGTTTTTAGAATTTTAAGCTATTACCTCTGGTTAAAGACAAAGAGGCGCCAGGCGGTGGTGGAACATGCTTTTAATCCCAGCATTTGGGAGACAGAGGTAGGCAGATCTCTGTGAGTTTGAGGCCAGCCTGGTCTACAAGAGTTAGTTCAAGACGGCTAGGGCTCTTACACTGAGAAACCAGCTGCAGGGAGGGGGTAGACAAAGAGGCACTGGGGCCAGAGAGAAAGCTTGTGGTTAAGAGCACTGGCTGCCCTTCTAGATGATCTAGGTTTGATTCCCAGTACCCATAATTCCAGACCCAGGGAATCAGACATCTCCTGGCTACCATGGGCACCAGGCACGGACATGGTGCACAGACATACATGCAGGTAAAACCCCCATACACATGAAATAAAAAGGTATTAATAAAATACAGGCATTACCTAGCAATGGAGAACACAAGAGATTTAGCTTTGGTTTCATGACTGGACGTTCTGACTGAGCCAATTCACTTTTCTCCAGAGAGGGGAAGTCTATTACTTTCATTCCTTCTCTTCTCACGTCAATCTCAGTCTGGGGCGTATCCAAGGTTTGGGAAGAGTCCCTTTCTTGAGGAAGATGATGCCAAGATTCTGCTCTCTGAAACAATTTTAAAGGAAAAGATGCTGAGTCATTAACTGAGTCACACATTTACGCTTAGACTACTGCCTACTCAGCATATTTAACAATACTCTCACATATAGAGTGGTCAAAAGAAAGTTGTTCCTTCTATGTGACTTTGTACTACACTGACCTCCTTCTAGACCTCTTCCGATCACTACCAGCTCCTAGCACCATGTAGTCACTGACACCTGTGTTACAGTGTCGGCTCTCACTGTTAAATCAATCATTTGCTACTACATGACAAATCCATACTGTGGTCATTAAAAAAAACAAAACCAAAAACCAAACAAAAAAAAACTGAACAAATATTTCTAAACCTAAAGCTACAGCATTCCCTAGGCAAAACGGAACAGATACTTCAGAAGATAACATATTCTTGTAAAGTTAAATATACCATTTTAATGTAATTTAGCTGATCTACTCCTGGGTATTTACTCAGCAAAAATGAAGTTGTGTTTACTCAAAAACAATGAACATTTATTTAAAGAGTTGATACAGAAGAAATCAGATTTTTAAAATCCACACATTGTAATTCTAAAAAAGGCAAAGCAGAACTACCAACTATAGGATGCTTGATTTAAGATAAGGGACTGGAGAAGGTAATAATTAAAATAGTATTCAGAAACTTTTGTCCATAATAGCAATGCTATAGGTCAAGCATAGTGATATTTATATAACTGTATACTTCAAAGATTATCTGACAAACTGTATAACTAAAACAGTTCACTTTTCTATATTTTATAATTGTATCTTTCAAAGTTCATCTGTCAAATGTATAACTAAAACAGTTTACCTTTCTATATTTTATTTAAACTTAGCTGTATAAAAAATGGAACTAGACAGCTGGGCAGCAGTAACACACAACTTTAATCCAGCCCTCAGTAGGCTCTCTATGAGTCTGAGGCCAGTCTGATCTATAGAGCAAGTTCCAGGACAGAGAAATCTTATCTCAAAAAAAAAAGAAGAAAGAAAGAAAGAAAAGAAAAGAAAAAGGGGAAAAATAAAAAAACAACAACAACTTTCCTTTAAAATTTTCTATTTATACTCAGGTAATGAATGATTTTGCAATTTTGAATGTTTTAATTTCTTGTATGCCAAATATCCCATGAGATAATATACGTACACACAAAAATATATAATTTTGAGGAATATAGACTATTGAGACAAAGAAGCAGGGATGAGCTTCCTAGTCTATATAAAATTGTGTCCCATGAGAACACTGGAATAGTAAAGTGATCCACATCTTCACATTCCTCATATTACAGCATTTCTGTGCTGCGGGTAGAAAGAAAAGAATTTGCCCCAGACGCACCTGTTCCTCCCCGGGACACCACTGGACTGTTGTTTCCAATGACACTACACCAGAGTTGGAAAGCTGTGCTCTAGAATTGTCTTGATACGATGACTGCTGCCACCCATGGCACGTCAGTGAAACAACCTGAAAATCAAAGCACACTAAAGCTGAGTAATGCTGGGACTGTACAATAACAAAAGTAACCATGCTAAAATACACTTTTCACTCTATAAAATGCTTTCATGTTATTATAAAATGTTATTCTTTAAGCATAACAGCATGACCATCTTCATCAGAAGCAGCTCTCAAGACTGGGCCTGTAGCCGGGCGATGGTGGCGCACGCCTTTAATCCCAGCACTCGGGAGGCAGAGGCAGGCGGATCTCTGTGAGTTCGAGACCAGCCTGGTCTACAGAGCTAGTTCCAGGACAGGCTCCAAAGCCACAGAGAAACTCTGTCTCGAAAAACCAAAAAAAAAAAAAAAAAGACTGGGCCTGTTGACCTTCCCTCATAGGAGGATGTAGAGAAAGTCATCAGGCAGCCAAACATAGGAAATAGTTTAGAGGCTTGGGACCCTATTTAGTTTGGAGCATGTACACACACACACCCTTGTAATAATGCACTTGGCAGTCTAGCTCCTTCACCTGCATGTACTATGCACACACATTTCTCTCCCAACAATGCAGCTACTAACCTCAGAATCCCTCTACTCTCCACCTAATTGGGACTCATGTACACTTCACTCTGAACAACAGTATAGCTTCTTGGCCCCAACAATGATCAATTTTCGACCATTAACGTACAATCCCAATGTATCTGAACAGAACGAAGAGAAAAGCTGATCTGGCCTGAACTGGTTTGCGGTACACGTACACTAAGACAAACCATATTGTTCCAGTGAATTTTGTTGGAAAATTCCAATTTATAATCTTATGCCTATGTATAATTGGGCATGCATATGAATCAAATTGGATGCATTATGGGAAGAGACATGTGCAGTAGGAAAAATAAATATATGACCTAATCTACCAATTAAAATAAGAGAACACCCAAAGTACACCCGAGTAACCAGCCCCTTCTTAAGGCCTCGAGTACTCTCTCTGATCTCATGCTCTTATAAGCTCAATAAATGCACTTGACAACAAGGTTGGACTTGGAATAGTTACTTTGACTTATCACTGATTACCTACCTGTGGTCATTAAATGTTTATTCACATCTTCCCAGGAAAAGTTCACAACAAACTAACTCACTCTCTGCCTCTCTCACTTCACAATCACTATTGAAACTGTTACTTATGCTCACCTAAAAATAGCCAGGGTCTTAAGGTTAACCAGTTAGGCCCAAACATACTTTTCACTAAACCTTTCCCAGTCCTAAATCTTCTATACCTACAATAAAAGCAATTAGGAAAATAAATGAAAACTGTCTCTTTTCTAATCTTACTGTTCTTACAGTCATGAAATTAACTTTAATATCAGAAGCTTCAAATCAGCTTCTTCAGTTTCTTCTTCTCAGAAGAAACAGGGAATGCCACCACTAAGATATAACCACCACTCCCCCGAGGTTCAAATGTCTGGCTGGCTCAGCGTCCAGAATTTGAGCACAATTTCTAAAAACACAAAACAAAATAAGAACTGTTTGGGTGGGAAGTTCCACCCCAAGCCTCCTCCCCTGGGAGTTGCCTCAGTCCAGACTACACCTCCGAGAAAGCCCTCCAAATGGTGGCCCCTCCTCAGAGATGCTCAAGACCACTCCCACAGGGTATTTAAACTGCCCCTCAGAAAACACACACATGGTTTTCTGGTCTTCCTTTCCTCTCTCCGTGGTTTTCCAGTCTCCCTTCTCTGTCTCCATCCCTGGGGGTCTGGAAGACCACCGGGGAGCATTAGTATCCACTAAACCTGGGCTTTTTCTAATTCTGTTTGATTTGGTCTGATTTGGATTATTGCATTGGCAGAAAGGTTAATCGGGGTGCAAAAACTTTTCAAGAACCAAAACCACTGTGAAGATCAGCTGTGTAAAGGGACTGACCTTTTCTGAGACACAGTTCAAAAGAACCATGCTTAAGGCCAAAATGTAAGGTGACCTATTTTAATCAATTAAAGTTCTTTTCTCGGCTATAAACCAGTACTTTTGATAAAAACCTTCCAAACAAGATAAAGCAACATTTACAGTCAAAACACGTCTTCCTCTCCCTCAGACCTACACACAGGAAGAATTCCTTTAACCTGTTTTGACTGGCTTTTATCTTCTCAGCATTCATCTGCAAACACAAAGTACCCATAAATCACTTATAAACTTGCTAAATAAAAATCTTTTAGATAAAATAAGTTATATTTAGTAAAGATACACACACACACACACACACACACGTAGTAACTATTAATGAAAAAGGAGGTCATGAATTTGAAAGAGCCCAAGGAGGGGTATATATGGGAGGGTTCGGAGAGAAATGATGTGATTATATTATAATTTCAAAAAGAAAAGAAAAAAATAAGCATACCAAAACGCTTAATCTTTTTGTTTTGTTTTATTTTCATTTTTCAAAACTGAGTTTCACTGTGTAGCCCTGGTTGCACTGGTCACTTGGTAGACCAGGTGACTGATGCACAGATCCACCTGATTGCCACCCAGGGCCATGGCGCTGTCTGGGCCTGGGCTGGGCCTGATGCAGTCACAGTCAGTGCTGATGTCCATGACTCCTGATACCACCAAAGGCAGAGATGATAGGATTGTACAGAATTGTCACCACCTCTCACTGACTACAATACCAGGGAGAACTGGTCCTGCCCCTCACTGGCTGAAGCACTCCGGAGAGAGGATTTTATACCACCTCACCTGGGCAGCAAAATAAAGCTGACCCTCTTTGGGGGGATGGGAGAGGCATGGGCGAAACTGGCCCTGAGAGCATGAGAACGGAAGAGCAAGTCACATCCCTCTCATCTCCCGTGTGGTGGTGTGAGGAAAGATGACTTCTTCCCCTTGCCTCTCAACACCTGGAGCAGACGAGAGAACCTTTACCAGCTGCAGTACTGGCCCTGTTCCTTGCCTGGGCAGCAGGGTAGAACTGACCTTATAGACAGGGGTGCAGGTGAGCCAGCCCTGAGGGTATGAGGGGCATAACTGGTACTGCCTCCCTCATCTTGGGTGTGGTGGTGGGGACAAGGGACAGATGCCCTCCCCTGGTGAGGAAAGTAGGCCCTGCACCTTGTCTAGGCAGCACAGTAGAGCTGACCCTGTTGGGGAGAGCACAGGTTAACCTCCCAGGGAGTGAGCATTAGATCTGGCTCTGCCCTTCATCTACCACCCCGCAGTAAGGGCAGGGAAGATCCTCACCCCAAAGAGCCTGAGGCAGGTGGGAAAGTTGACCCTGAGGTCAAAAGAGTAGGAGAGCTGCCCTTGCCCCTCACCAGCTTCAGCACTCCTGAGAGCAGACCCTGGGCAGCACAATAGAACCAACCCTGTTGGCAGAGGTGTGGGTGAGCCAGCCCCACAGTTGTGAGTGTGGGAGAGCTGTCCCCACTACTCATCTATCAAGCAGCAGTGTGGGTAGGGGAGAGATAACCCCCTTATTCCTCATCCCTCACCACCTCCAGTAGACAAGGGAGGTCATCTTCCTCTTTACCAGCTAAAAGCGACCCTGCTCCTCACCTGGGCGTCACAGTAAAGCTGACCCTGTTGGCAGAGTCACGGGTAAACTGGCCCTGAGAGTATGAGGATGGAAGAGCTGGCCACACCCCTCTGTCTGCTGTGTGATGATGAGGGTGAGAGAAAGATACCCCCCCAACCCTGCCACCTGTGGTGGGCAAGAGCTGACCCTCCCCTTTACCAGCTGCAGCATTCAGAGAGTGGCCCCTGCACCTCACCTGGGCAACACAGTAGAGTTGGCCCTGAAGGTGTTAGGTGTGGAAGAGCAGACCCTGAGGGCTTCAAAGTAGGAGAACTGGACCCGTCCCCTTGCTGCAAAGAGAGAACTAGCCAGGGCAGTGCTGGAGAGCTCATCTTTAAGGTGAGGACAAGGGAGAACTGGCAGGCTAAGTCTACCACTACCCACGCCCAGAATCAGGACTAGGAGTTGAATCACCACAACATCCACCCCATCTGTGATCTGCTGGAGGGACCAGTACTGCAGACCAAAAGCTACTAGATCTCTACAACACAGAACAACAACAGGATAGCCAGGGAGTCCCAAGTATCGAAAGTGTAGCAGAAATCAGAGGCCTGGAACCATGACTCTGTGCAATGGACACTTGCAAGTAAAGATATACAGATAAAGTGTTTACTGTCAGACCGTGTCACACTGCCGCTTCCATAATGAGATTTTTCCTTTATTTCCATTTTTTTTCTTTAAATTTTATTTTATTTTATTGGGGAAGGAAGGTTGCTAGGATAGAGGGTGGATATGGAGGGATGGGTAGATAAATGGGACCAAGACTCGTGATGTAAAAGACACAAAGAATAAATTAAAAGAAAGTTAAAACAAACAAAAGCTTTTTGTCAGGAGGAAAGAGAATCCAAAAGATCCAAATATACTGTATCTATTTTTGTCTAGAAGCAAAACAGCTAGTCTATTACCAATTAACAAGGAAGAGGAGGGAAGCTGTAAAATTAGTGATTATTTTATATGCAAATTTGAGTTCACAATAAATTAAGTCAGCAGGGCTAAATAACAAACAGAAAACTAAAAATTAGAGTAGAAACTGTTTAAGTAGCTCAGTTGGAAGAGTGCTTACCTAGGATATACAAAGCCCTGGGTTCAATCCCCAGCACCATATAAATACCACAAGTGTGGTGATAGACCCCTATAATCCCAGTACTCAAGATGTGGTAGCACAAGAAACAGGAGTTCAAAGTCATCCTCAGCTAGTGATTTGACACACATGATCACCTCAATTAAAACAGAAAAAAAAAATGCTCTACAAAGGCAAGCACTGTTTCATAATTAAAGAAAACAAAAAACAAGAAGCTGGGGATAGACAAAAAATACCTCAGAATAAAGCCCATAATGTGAAAAACCCATGCAAATATCATATTCAATGTGGAAAACTTAAAAAAAAATAATTCCTCTAAGGTTTTACAACAAGACAAGGGCAACTTCTCTTGCCAGTTCTATTCAACAAATAATTACAAGTCCTAACCACAGC